CGCCCCCTGGTGGGCTGAGCTGCCCCCCCCACACTAAATAAATGAATGTTAAAAAAAAAAAAAAGAAAAAGCTTAGCAAAGCATAGGGACCACGGTTCAATCCCCCAGCACCACACGCCAGCCAACTCTGCCCCTTGGTGGGCTGAGCTGGCCACACACACACATAAATAAAAAAGAAACTACCCTATTATGAAAGCCAATTTTTTTTTTTTTTTTTGGCGGAACCAGGTATTGAACTCAGGACCTTGGACTTGCCAGGCAAGCACTATATTCCACTGAGCTATCTCCCTGGTCTTTGTGTCGTCACAAAAGTGAATAATTTCAGGCTCTTTGGCTTTGTTGTCAACAGAATTGCCATGATACATAGTTCACATTATTATAATTTTTAAAAAAATTTTTTTTTGGCACCAAATGACCTCAGGGCAGGTTTGGCTGGCTTGAGTGTGGGGATCGAACCACAGCAACCTGAGGCTGACTGCTTTGTTAAAGCAGCCACTTAAAGAACTGAGCTAAGGGGCAGGCCCCCCTTTTTAAAAAATTTCTAAAGAGGATCTCATTACGTAGTTCAGGCTGGCTTTGAGTTCACTTTTTTTTTTTTTCTTTGAGTTCACTTTAAAAAAAAAACAACACTTTTTTTTCAGACAGGGTCTCACTATATACCAAAAGCTGGCCTTGAACTCCCTGTGTAGCCTAGGCTGGCCTAGAGCTTGAAGCATCCTGTGTGCTGGGATTACAGGCATTCATCATCATGCCAGCTTATACCTGACATTAATGACACTTTCACGTTTTTAAAAAAAATATTTGGAACAGGGCCTCATTAAGCAGCTTGGACTCGTAGTGCACCTCTTGTTTTTAGCCTCCCCAGTGCTGCAATTACAGGCATGTGCCACCATAGCCAGTTGTGAAGGCCAGCTCAGCGTGAAGGCCAGCTCAACTGCCAGGATTCAAACCCCGGTCCATGCGCTCGCCTAAGCAGGCACTTAGTCTGCCAAGCTATCTTGTGGGCCCTGCACCTTTCTTTTGGCACATAGGAAACTATGTGTGGGTAGAAAATCCAAATACATACTGATGACTGAACAGTTTTTCTTTTTAAAAACTTTATCTGAAACATGAAAAAAAATTCAAAACAAGATTATAGGAGGATAGGATCTCAAGTCCGCATCTTGTACAGCAATTAACCACTAAGAAGAATATATGCAGTGTATTATTTGTTGAAACTGTACTTCCGATTTGATTTGAAACTGTCTCATTGCTGTTTATCAATAAAATTTTGAAAAAAAGATTATAGGAGGGTAACAATGGCAAATACATTGCATACTGTTATAATTAGAGTATAAGATATCGGCATTTAATAAACAATTTTTTTTCTATTTGGTAAAAATTGAGGTGTTATACCCCTCATTTTTTAAAGTGCCTACAAAGTCAAGATTTTCTTTTTACGTTCAAGTTCCACTGACCGATACTAGTTGTCACTGGTAATATTTCTTTTAATATCTTCAATTATTCCATACATCTAAAAACAACTCTTGTGGTATCTGACAAGGTAAGTTTGGTCGAATTAGCTGTCTTTACTTCAGCACCAGCATATACTGACTGTAGCATATAATGAAGGTGGTTGTTTTTTTTTTTTCTTTTGGTACCGGGGATTGAACTCAGGACCCTGCGCTTGCCAGGCAAGCACTTATTCTACTGAGCTATCTCCCCAGCCCCTGATGGCTGTTTCATGAAAGAGAATAACATGACTTTGACCTGTTTACGAATTCCTGAAATAAGTTGGAGATAACAGCCAACGTATTTGACTCTTTTCTAGTTTTGACATTATCAAATCTAAGGGAACATACTAAAAATGAAAATTGAGCCAGACTCATAGTAGCACGAAAAATGGGTCATCCTGTTCCATCTGTTGCCCACACTGAACAGAGATATTTTCGTAGCCAGAATTTAAAAAGTAAAAGCTCTATAAAAAATGCTCTGACACGGGGGAAAAAAAGTATCGTACTTACTACCATATATTCTTCCCTGTAGAGCCTCGTGCGCTGGATTAAGTACTCCTCATGGTGGGAGACTATGGAAACCCTGAGTAAGCAATGTTGACACATTAAAAAAACACAGCACCCGGGTCCTGAGGACTCTTCAGTAATCACTGCGGGTTACCCGGCTGTCAAAAGGAGCCCCAGCGGCTCCCCTCACCCGCCCGCGCTGCGCTGGGGGTCCCGTCTCGCCCCGCTGACACCCACGGCGTCGTCCCTCAGCCCGGTGGGTTAGCGTCCCCTCGCCGTTCCTTCTCCCCTTTCCAGTCCCCCGCCTCCCGACCGCGGCCAGGCCCTTCGAAGGCGCCACCTGGCGTCCGCACCGTGCTGTAGTCCCGCCTTCCGGCCGAGGGCCGCGGCGGCGCCTCCGAGGCCCGGGAGGAGCGGAAGTCTCTCTAGGCGGGAGGCGTCTCGGTGGTGGTGTAGGCGGGGCTGGCGGAAACATGGCGGCGCAAGCGAGCGCCGCTGAGCTCCCGGACGCGGGGGCTCCTCGGCCCTCCGTGTGTCTGTTGGTTTTGGGAATGGCAGGATCCGGGAAAACCACTTTTGTACAGGTGATGGGAACAGCGCGGGCATAGTAGGGTGCTCCAGAAGTTGCCTTCGGCGGGCGAAAGGCCGGGAGCAGAGGTTAAGGGTCAGTTTGGGAATTGCAGCGTCCAAGCTTCTAGCGCTGGGGGCTTCTTAGCAACTCACTTCCCCGGTGTGTCGAGCGTCGGACTCTACAAGGATCAGTGATGGGCCGGGGATTTACATCAGCGGTACAAGCGCCTGTCCCGCTCCCCCCGCAACCCCCCAAAGGCTGTGCGCCGCGCCTCCTCCCTGCATGCTCTGAACAGTTCACCACGTTGTACTGATTTTTTTCGCTGATAAAATTGCCCGCTGCCCGAAGCCTGAGGTTTATAAGCAATTCTAGAGATGGGACAAGGTGCCACACAGATTTTCGGGGAGAGTAGTCAAAGAATTATTTTCTGCGTGCCTATCATGTTGTAAGCCCTTGTGCTGTAAGCCAGCGCAGGTGATGTGGACAAGTTTCCGGTCATCATGGAGTTAACATTTTAGTGAAGGAGGTAGGAAAAAATACATAGAAAGTTAGTTAGATAAATGATCTAGAGTAGGGGAGGCTCTGTTAAAAGATGATGAAGACAGGTAACATTTAAATTGAGTTAAATGTAGACAGAGTGGATGGATATTTTAAGTAGAAGGAAAGAGTGCCAAAATCTTCACGCATGGCAGAATAGGAGTTCTCTGCGATTTCCTGATTATTCCTTTTCACCCCTGCAGAGGCTCACAGGGCACCTGCATAGACAAAGCTCTCCACCTTATGTGATAAACCTGGACCCAGCTGTACATGAAGTGCCCTTTCCTGCCAACATTGGTGAGTAGCTTGCCTGGAACTTCGAAGTGCCTCAGAGTGAGTGGAAATCCTGTATCTTGGACAATCTTCAGTGCCTGCAGTTATTTACTTATTCATTTTCCTTCTTATTTCTTGCTTTCTTGCTCTCTCGCTCTTGCTCTCTTTCCAGCATGCTTTGATATCCTTGGATTTGCTGGAGTGCCTGAACATTAGGCTTCATCCTTATTCCCATTTTCTCTTTACTGTGCCCACTTTGCTACATTGCTTTGTTATTCCAGTTCTCCCTTATCTCTCCTCTCAACATTAAATGGGAAAATGTGTGTGCCTGTGGATGTTTGCCTTGTTTTAAAGAGAAGGTCCCAATATGAATCAGATGAATCAGGCTTGAGTTTGGGACTCTAAAAATGATTACAAATGAGTGTGTTCCAGTGTCAGGATTCTTTTTTGTTGTTTGAGACAGAACCTTGCTATATATAGTTCAGGATGGAATTGAATTCATTATGTAGGCCAGGCTGACTTTGATTTTGTGCAGTCCTGCCTCAGCCTCCTAAGTGATGGGATTACAGGTGTGCACTGCCATACCTGACTCAGTGTCTGGATTCTTGCTTGATAAGATCAAGGCTTCCTGGTTTCCAGGCCATTACTGTTTGCTAATCCTTTACTTTCTTACTACTTTTTTTTTCTTTGTTGTATGTTACGGGTTGGTGCCGAAAGAAAGGACAAGAAGACCTGATGAATGTAGCTTCAGAGGTCTCACTGAGATTAGTCTCTCTCCAAGTGAGCCCAGAGCCTCATAAGAATCTCACTTTTATTGAGGGGTAAAGGCAGACTAAGGAATGTGCATAATTACCTAAGTGAATACAAACTACTATCTCTGTTAACTTCCACCGTTTGCCTAACACTAGGCTCACACAAATGCTAGTCATTAACATCCCAAGCAAGGGATCAAAGGACAGGGCGCCTGCAGTGCAAGCTGTTATCTGCTGCCTTGGGTCCCAGCTTGCCGGGAATTTGCAAACAGACAACAACCCTCCTCGGGCTCAGTCCAGTGTTCCCTGCTCTCTTGGGACATCAGGCTTTTGTCTCAAATCTATATCTCTACATTTCTTTTTTCTTTTGTTACCAAGAATCAGATTCGCGGCCTCAGACTTGACAAGCAAGCACTTCATCACTGAGCTACATTCCTGGCCCTCTCATCACTTTTTGATTCTTTTGAGCTTCTTGTACCTCTGAGGTAGTAATACAAGGAAGTTGTTTTTTTTTTTTTTTCCTTTTTTTTTTTTTTTTTTTTTTTTTTTTTTTTTTTTTTTGCTCCGAATGCCTTCAGGGCAGGTTTGGCTGGCTTGAGTTGTGGTGATCGAACCACAGCAACCTGAGCCTGACTGCTTTGTTGAAGCAGCCTCTTAAAGAACTGAGCTAAGGGGCAGGCCCCCTTTTTTTCTCTTTTGAAGGCAGGGTCTTGCTATGTAGCCCAGACTGACCTCCAACTCATGGCAATCCTCCTGCTTTAGCCACCTGAGTGCTGGAATTATAAGCCTACACCATCACACCTGACAATAAAAAGAAGAAATTTTTAAGCAGACATTATTTTGAGAAGAGTTGGAGAAAATATTTTCCGTGATCTCACACAAAGGATGGAATTTTAATAGCTGATGAGGGGAACTTTACAGACTGGTGGCTATGTTTAGGTAGATACTACCAGACAGATTTTTTTTTTTAGACTGAAGATTGAATTTAGGACCTTCACAGTGAGCTACGTCTCCAAATTTTATTTTGAGACAAAGCCTTGTTAAGTTGCCCAGGCTGGGTTTAAACTTATGATCTGTCCACCTAAGACTACCAGAGTGCTGGAATTACAGACATGTATCACCATGTCTGACTCAGATTTTTAAGAAGCTTGTCTGTCTTGGGTTTATCACACAGATGAAAGTGATAAGAAATAGGTCTTTTATTCTTGATTTTTCTTGCCTTTCTGTGTCTAGAGCACTGATATTTAGGGTACATAATAATTGTACCTTTTTTTTTCTTTTAAAGGGAAAGATCTACAGGGTGTTCATGGTGTCATTACTAGATCAGACTCTAGTGATCCGCCTGTTTACAGCCTCCCAAGAGCTGGGATTACAGGCTGGCCACCACACCCAGTCTCAATTGTGTCTCAGGGCACTCTGGGGGCAGGCCCAGGGATCAAACCCTGGCTTCTGCGCATCTGCTGAGCTATTTGGCTGGCCCTCACCTTCTTATTTGATTTATTTTTTAATGTATTTGGTACAAGGTCTCACTACGTAGCTCAGACTTGCAGTGATCCTCCTGTTTTCAGCCTCCCCGGTGCTGGGATTACAGGCATGCACCATGCCCAGATTTGGTGGCTGGCTCAACACAGCACAACAGGTCAAAGGTGGTGTGATGGGGATTGAACCCTAGTCCTTGCACTTGCCTAAGCAGGCTCTTAGTCTGCTGAGCTATCTTGCCAGCCCTTACCTTGCTTCATAATGTCTCTATTGTAACTTGAGTATTCCTAGCCCAACGTGTCCCATGAGTTTCTTGGCAGTTATTGTGTATATGAAAGGAAATCAGTAGAAGGATGAAGTTGGTAGAAGAGTCTTCTGGCAAGAGAAGTCTAATAGACTGGTTCTAGTTTTTGCTGGCAGAGAAAGTGGTTGTAGGACACTTTTAGCTCTTGTAGTCTTTCTTCCCATGGTCTTCCTTCTTTTTCTATCACCATTCAATTTTAATTTTTTTAAAAACAATACGAGGGGCTGGTGAGATGGCTCAGTGGTCTAAAGCACCTACTTAGAACAAGCTAAGCTCAAGCAAAGCACAGAGACCTCGGTTCAATCCCCCAGCACCACATGCTCTCCCGCCCGCCCCCTGGTGGGCTGAGCTGGCCACACACTAAATAAATAAGTAAATAAATATTAAAAAATAAATAAATAAATAAATAATAAAAACAATACGAAGCCAGGTGTGCTGGCGAATGCCTGTAATCCCAGTACTTGGGAGGCTAAGGCAGGAGAATCACCACACATTCAAGGCCAGCCTGAACTATGTAGCAAGGCTTTGTCTCAAAAGAAAAAAAAAAGAAAGAAAACCAATATGAAAAGGAATTGTGATGCCAAGAGTGGAAAACTGTTCTGTACTTGCTGTCAAGGCTTGTTGGCTTAGGATACTAAAGTTGGAGGATTTGAAATTATTTTTTTCCTTATGTGTTATATTCTAGTTAATTTTTTCTTTTTTCAGATATTCGTGACACTGTGAAGTATAAAGAAGTCATGAAACAGTATCCTTTTCAGTGTCTACTAAGGTGTTGAATTGTTCCTTGCTAGTTACTATCTGTATTTTATGGCTTTGCCAATTTTTACTTTCCCTGTTGAAATATACAAGCAAAAGGATTGATTGAAGAAAGTTTCTTAGGAGAGGTTAGATGAAGGGAGGTGAGGTATTACAGTGATCAGAAATACCCTTTTAGTTTGTGATCTCTGTTTTCTTAATATGTCCCTCAATGGTAGCTTGTTGTCATTAATTAGGAAGAATCAGAGCTAGCACACCGCTGTCGTTTAAAATTTTTTTTTTATTTTTTCCATAATTTTATTGATTAACAAATATCAGTGAGACAGTTTCAAATCAAATTGGTAGGACAAATAAATAAGTAAAATTAAAAAAAAAATATTTCAAAAGGGGCTGGTGAGATGGCTCAGTGGTCTAAAGCACCTACTTAGAATAGGCTTAGCAAAGCACAGGGACCACGGTTTGGTCCCCCAGCACCACATGCCAGCCGGCCCCGCCCCCTGGTGGGCTGAGCTGGCCACACACACACACACACACATACACACAAATAAATAAAATTAAAAAAATTTCAAATTGGTAGGACAGTTTCAATAATTAGCACATTGCATACATTCTTGTTAGTGGTTAATTGCTGTAAACACATACGGCTTTTTTTTTTTTTTTTTTTGCAGAACTGGGGATTGAACTTGGGCCCTTGCGCTTGCCAGGGAAGCGCTTATTCCACTGAGCCATCTCCCCAGCCGTAATCCTGCCTTTGGGGGCCTGCCCCTTAGCTCAGTTTTTTAGTTTTTGTTTTTGTTTTTGTTTTTTTTTTTTTGCGGAACCGGAGATTGAATTTAGGCCCTGATGTTTGCCAGGCAAGTGTTTATTCTACTGAGCCATCTCCCTGGCCCCTGTCTTGGAGAATCTTGATACATTCTTTGATTACTGCTCTTCAGACAGGGAGACTCAGAATGAGTATGTGTAGTTAGATTAAGTGCTTTCCTGTGTGACGTGTACTCTTCATGTAGGCAAATCTTACTAATTTGAATCAGCAGGTTGCTTGATTGACAAGGGTGAGAGCAAGGAGTGTTATAAAGCTAATTGTAACATTTGTAAATTATATTTTGGTCACTTTGCATTTTTCATCTGGTCTGGCCATCCTGAGAATGCTAACTGAGTAAGGAGGACCTTGACTGTTCATGGATTTCTTTGAGGCTCAGGTTTTGTGATTGTCAAGGGTGGGGTTGTGCCTATGCCTATTCTGGAGCACTAGTGTAGTAGTATTGGGTGATTGATACAGTAGGGGTGAACTTCACAATCCAGCCTATCAAGTGTATATCCTCAACTGAGTGTCTAGATACGGACTTGGGCCCAATGGTGGCATAGTGACCTCGCTCAATCTCTTTGCTACCAGATTTGATCAGGTACGTCTGTCCTTTTGTTTATAGATGTGGCTGTGTAGCAGCCTGACTCTTCATGCCTTGTCCTCGTCACATTTGTAAAGAGCAACAAACATGAGGAGAATAGAAGGCTGAGAAGGAGACTGTGTTGTGAGACACTTATTATTTATGACAGCCACCAAAACAAGAACTGCAAGAGCTCTGGGTTCTTTTTTTCTGGTGTGGGGCTGTGGTTTTACCTAGAGGATATGGCAGGGAGATAGGCATGGGGTGGTCTAGCAGGCATAAAAAGGATTCTTTTTCCTTGTGATGAATATTTTTTTGTCCTCTAGGTTTTCTCTGTCTCCTGATTGTATAGTTTTGTTTTTTTTTTTTCCTGTTAGGCCACTCCATTACCTTTTTTATTGATCAAAGCCATGCATGATAGCAAGGCATCGCTAGTTCCTGCTGTTTCAGGAGGCTGAAGTGGGGGCTGGGGAGATGGCTCAGTGGAATAAGCACTTCCCTAGCAAGTGCAAAGGTCTGAGTTCAATCCCCGGTTCTGCCAAAAAAAAAAAAAAAAAAAAAAAAAAAGGAAAAGTTCTTCAGAGTGCTGAAAGGTTTCATATCAAAGTAGTGACAAGTTAAGTTTTGAATGCCTAGGTTCTTGCAGTGTTGCCTCAGCAGGGCTGCTGAAGTGGCTGTTGTGCCTCTGTGGCTCAAAGCTCCTGAGTTTTTTCAGTCATTGTCCTTAGTTTGTGAACATGGAGAGTTAGTAGGTGATGGTGCCTCGAAGGTAGACCACCCGGAGAGGACATTAGATCTTGTTGTAACTGGCATCTTTTTCTTTTAGGTGATGAAATTTATTGAGAAAGCCCAGAACACTTCCAAGTAAGTCATGTTGGTTGAACATCTGTTTATTATTCTGCAGTTGATATATCTCCAGGCTTTTGATAGGTAGATGTTCAGGTTCTATTAGAACCGGAAAGGGTATTGATCGAGACAAATCCTGTAGAAATAAGAAAAAAATGACAAAATCATTAAGATGCTGTACAGTATGGAGCTGAATGCAGTGTTTCCCACCTCTAATCACTAATCACTATGATTGCCAATTTACATGATTTCTTTGGAGGTATTGTTTTATTTTTGAGACAGGGTCTCACTATATAGTTCAGGCTAGTTTTGAACTTACTGTGTGGCCCAGGCTGGCCTTAAACGCTCAGTGATTCTCCTGCCTCAGCCTCCTGAATGCTGGGAGTACAGGCATGCTCCACCACTCCCAGCTCAAGGTATTTTGAGATGTCCATGGTCATGTATCTACCAGCCTTTTCTTAGGAAACTGTATTTGTTGGCATTAAATCCTCTTGAATATCCCTAACTCTTTGTTTAACTGAATGTAATTCATATGATTCAGTTGAAAAAAACAATCTTTCAATGTGAAAAGTAGCAAAATGTTAAGTATCTATATATAGTTGTTACTAAGTTTTTAATAGGTTTAGTTTTTTTCTAAGAAAAAAAGGCAGTTCTTAAAAAAAGTGTATAGGTTCGCTGTAAAGAACTAAAACCATATACAGTACTTAAAAGATGTCGTGGTCACTCTGCTTTCTACTAGCAGTGATGTCTCACTTTCCATGACTAGCATTCTGCGTTTCTCTCTATATATATACTCAAAGACGGGAGGAGGGTGTATAATAGTGTTCCTACCTTCATGGGATTATACTAGAGGTAGTTGTTTTTAAAGAAGGCAGCAACTTCACTGCAATAAAATTCACTTACTGTTTTAAACTGTATACTGTAGCTGTGCTGGCCCCACCTCCGGGGTGCGCTGAGACTCAGTAGAGTCCGGGCGTGGTGGTGGGTGCCTGTAATCCCAGCTCTTGGGAGGCTGAAAACAGGAGGATCACTATGAGTCTGATCTGTGTAGTGAGACCCTATAGACCCCTGTACTAAATACATAAAGAACTTAAATGTATACTGCAATATTTTTGTCACTAGCTTGCACGTTCATCACCACTATCTAATGTTAGACCATTTTCATCACTCCCTTATACCCTGTGCTTGTGAACAGTGACTCCTTTTCCTTTCCCTCCCCTCTTAGCATCTGCCCACTTTTCATCTCTACCAGCAGTATGACTTAGCTACAGCCACATTTGCAACAGCCACATTCGCACTATACTTATTAATGTCTTTTTATTGTTGTTGTTCTGTTGGGGATTGAATTTAGCATTTTCTCATTGAGCTGTAGTCGTTAAATTTTTTTTTTAAGAGAATGCAAAAAAAAAAAAAAAAAAAAAAAAATAGAAATGATACAGAATTACTTTTTATTTTCATTTTGAGACAGTCTTATTAAGTCACCCATACTGGCCTCCTTGCCCAGCCTCCTAGAGTACTGGGATTATAAGCCTGTGCCACCAGGCCTCCTTAAATGATTGTCTGTTTGTCTGTCTGTCTGTATCTTTTTGAATATTTTTTTTTGTGGAACCGGGGATTGAACTCAGACACTTGGGCTTGCCAGCCAAGCACTTATTCTACTGAGCTACTGAGCCATCTCCCTGGCCCTGTCTGTGTATCTTTCTGAGACAGGGTCTACTCACAAGGATCCTCCTGCCTTAGCCTCTTGAGAACTGTATTACAGGCTTGAGCTACCACGCCCAGCTGATAGACTTTCTTTTCTTTTTTTTTTTTAAATTTTATTTATGTGTGTGTGTGTGTGTGTGTGTGTGTGTGTGGCCAGCTCAGCCCACCAGGGGGCGGGGCTGGCTGGCATGTGGTGCTGGGGGATTGAACCGTGGTCCCTGTGCTTTGCTTAGCTTAGCTTGTTCTAAGTAGGTGCTTTAGACCACTGAGCCATCTCACCAGCCCCATAGACTTTCTTTCTTTCTTTCTCTCCCCCCATCCCCTGCCTTCCTTTCTTTTTGGTGCTGGGGATGAGACCCAGAGCCTTGTAGATACTAAGCATGAATTATTTAACATTGAGCTACACCTCCAGCCTCCCTTTGTTTTTGATTATAGCTAATACTAGTGTTTGTAAAGTAGTATGGCATTGTGGCTTTCATTTGTGTTTCCATAGTAGCTATTGATATCTGGTGTCTTTTCATATCCTTATTGGATATTGTGTTTTTGGAGAAATATTTCTTAATTTTTTTTTTGCCATTTAATTTATTTATTGGTACCGGACCCAGAGCACTTGGGTGTGCGAGGCAAGTGCTCTGCTATGGAGCTAGACCTAGGTTTTCCTTTTTTTGTTTTAAGATAAGATTCCCTTAAGGTTATCCAGGTTGGCTTGTAGGTTGTCCTCCTGCCTTGGCATCTGTGGTAGCTGGGATCATAGGCATGTGTCACTATGCCTAACTGCTGGTTTGTTTATTTATTGGTTTATTCATTTGTGTGGAGCTGAGATCACACTCAGGCTTGTGTGTACCAGGCATGTACTCTTCCACTGGTCTGTAACCCTAAGCTGTTGTTGCCCATGTTAAAAAATATTTTGCTTAAGTAAAATATATATACTAATTTATCTGTTTAAAATGTACAATTCAGTGGCTTTTTAGTATAGTCTCAGAATTGTGCAACTATTGCTATAATCAGTTTTATTTTATCTTATTTTGGTGTTGTTTTGGGGGTGCTTTTTAAGACAGGGTCTCACTGTGTAGTTCAGGCTGGCCTCGAACTCACTGTGTAGCCCAGGCTGGCCTCAACTCAGGTGCTCTCCTGCCTCTGCCTCCCAAGGCGTGGGACTACAGATGTGTACCATACTGTCATTTTAGAACTTCAGGAAGTTTAGGAAGATGCCCTGGCATCAGTTCAAGAAGGTGCCTCGACGGTGCCCGTCCCTCTAGTTCTCCCTCTGGACTCAGCCCTAAGCAGCTAGATGTTTCCCCAAGAGTTTACCCTCTGGTTTTGTATATGTCTCACATTTAATGCATCATGCTTCTGTAACTGTCACGCCTTCCAGGTAGCAGTTCATAGTTGCTGCTCTTGGTCCTTAGCATGAAACTGTCAGGGAACAACATTTGGAAATATGGTATGCACCTTAAGGGCCATGGCAGGAAGTCCATGCGTCGGTGCTGATATTGAGTGGATGTTTTGCTTTTTTTCTTTAATGGTACTGGGGATGCAACCCAGGACCATGCTAGGCAAACCCTGTACCACTGCACTACATCCCTAGCCCTTTTGGTTTTATTTTAAATTGTGTAGTCTGGGGCCAGTGAGATAGCTCAGTGGTGTAAAGCTCCTGCTTAGGCAAGCTTAGGCAAGTGCACAGGGACCGCCTTTTGATCCCCAGCACCACATACTGTGCCAGCCCTATCCCCCCAGGGTGGGCTAAGCCAGCTCCCCCCTCCAAATTGTGTATTCTGGCCTTCAACTTATGATGTTCCTGCCTCAGCTTCTAGAGTAGCTGGAATCGGGTGTGCTTCGCTGTGGCTGGCATATTTACTGTTCTGTGTGATGAAATACTTCTCAGTATTTGTCTTAGTTACTCTTCTCTCGTTGCTGGGACAAATACCTGACTCACAAAATGAAGGAAGGAAAGGTTTATTTAGTTCACAGTTACTGGAGGTTTCAGTCCATACTCAGCTGGGTCCAGTGCAGAGCAGCACATAGTAGAGGACAACCTTTCATGGCTGCGGCAAAGAGCAACAGCACAAGGGAGGGGTAGCAGCAGCTCAAGCAGCTAGCTTCTCTTCCCACCTTACATTGTAATGCAAATTACCTGCCTCAGGGTAGGGGAAGTACTCACACCTATGGGTACTTCCCAGTATTTACCCACCTATGGGTAATCCCAGCAGTACTAAGACCCATAATCCCAGCCTTGGATCACACATAATCCCAGTGCATCATGAGTTAACACAAACTCTAGAAGTCCTCACCCCATGACTGCATGAGGCTTTGGGGGGACAACTAGACACAAACCATAACAGTATTCCATAACTCTTAACATTTCTTGGATGGTCTTTCTGCACACAGGTATGTCTTGATTGACACACCTGGACAGATCGAAGTGTTCACCTGGTCAGCTTCTGGGACAATCATCACCGAGGCGCTGGTGAGTGCTCTAGGTGCATTCCTGAGAGCAGTGGATTGCTAGCCCAGCTTCCTATCTGTTCAGCTGCCTGGGACTGTCGGTTGGAGGGAGCTTGCATACCCTGTCTGAAATGGTTTTCCCTGTTCTGGAAGGCAGAGGAGTGTGGGGACAGGGCAAGAACCCTCTCACCAACGCTTCAATTTTTTTGTGGCTTTAGGCATCCTCGTTTCCAACAGTAGTCATCTATGTGATGGACACATCGCGAAGCACTAACCCAGTGACCTTCATGTCCAATATGCTGTACGCATGCAGGTAACTGATGATTGGTAACACGGTATTCCATCTAGGAATAAGGCCTCTGCCTCTTCTCTCCTTTTTGTTGTTGAATCCTTGTTGTGTACCTTTGGATTTGTGCTCATTCTGAGTTGCCACCCAGTTGCGTGGCTCTGAATTAGAGATCAGAACTGAGATGCGTGTGCTGGTAGCATTCTCTTTCATCACCATCTGATCTTCCTCCCCAGGCTTTTTTTTTTTTTTTTTTTTTTTTTTGTATTTTAGGAAAGGGTCTACAGGATGTTCAGGGTCTCACTACTAGATTGGACTCATAGTGACCTGCCTGTTTACAGCCTCCTAAGAGCTGGGATTACAGGCGTGCACCAGCATGCCCAGTCAATTGCTAAGTCTCAGCGTGCCCTGGGGGTGGGGCCAGCAGGGCAGGCCCGGGGATCAAACCTCTGGCCTGTGTCTCCTTACAGGCGCTTTAATCCACTGAGCTATTTGGCTGACCCCTTCCTTGTGTTTATTATAGAACTAGGTGGTCTAGAGCCAGATGTAGTGGTGAACACCTATGATCCTAGCCCTTGGGAGGCTGAGGCAGGAGGAGCCCAGCAGGGGCTACATAGCAAGACCTTGTCTCAGAAACAAAACAAAACAAACAAACAAAAAAAAAGCAAAAATATTTGTATACATATGAACCTTATGGTGGTTGCTCCCATTTGAGCAAAATCCAAGTCTGATTTGAATGGTGCTTCCCATATTTTGATAGGTGAAATGAAATGGTAGCTTGAGGAGCTACTATGAATAAAAAGGTTTACCTGTCATTCTATGGTGCACAGGTGTGCCAGCAGGGAGGAGGGGTTGCCTCACTGGACTGTGTCAGTGAATTAGGACTGGGAGAACTGGCATGGTGGCACATGCTTTAGTCCCAACATTGAGGGAGGCTAAGGGAGGAGGATCATAAGTTTGAGTCCTGCCTGGGCAGCTTAGCCAGACTTTGTCTTTAAAAAAAAAAAAAAAAAAAAAAAAAAAAAAAAAAAAAAGGGCTACATGTAACTTAGTAGTATAGTGCCCCTGACTTCAATCCCCAGTACTGAAAAAAAATAGCAAAAAAACCCCGAAACTGTGGGAAAGGCGGTGCATTATGAAAACTGAGAGAACTTAGTTTTAAAGATACACAAAAGCTACCACCATTTGTCTGATAATTAGTAGGAATGTTGTTCCTTCTCACTGGATGCAGGAAAGCCTGATCCAAATGGAAATCTCGTGATTGATCTGATTATTTTATTTTGTGTTGCTTAAAAGACAGTTATTTGATTAGGTTGTTTGTGGTAATCATTTCACCATATCTGCACAGATACACAAAACATCCTAGGGGCTAGGAGTGTAGTTCAGCTGTTGAGCACAGGATTATCATGGACAGGCACTGAGATTGATCCCTAGCACCCCAATGAATGAATGAGGAAGAGAGAGAGAGACAGAGAGACAGAGAGACAGAGAGAGAGACAGAGACAGAGAAAGAAACAGAAGATGTGCTTTTAAAAAGTTGCGTTGTTGGACCAGCCAGATAGCTCAGTGGACTAAAGCTCCTGCTTGGGCAGAGCACAGTGGCCGGGGTTCAGGGTTCAGTCTTCAGCCTCTGTGCCAGCCCCTGAGGGCGCCTGTAATCCCAGCGCTTGGGAGGCTGGAAACAGGAGAATCACTTCGAGTAGGTAGTGAGACCTTGTAGTCCCTGTATTAAATACATAATAAAAAAATAAAAACTTGCACTGTATACCTTAAATATTTCTATTTTTTGTCAGTTATAGTTCAGTAAGCCTAAGAAAAATTTTAGAAGTTTCAGTCCGTAAAATAACTTTCTTTCCAGTACTGGGGATTAAACAGGGCCTTTACACTGAGGTACATTCCCAGCCTCCTATCCCTTTTTTTAAACTTTGAGATTAGGTCTCACTAGTTGATCAGACTGGGCTCAAACTTATCCTCCAGCCTTAGCCCCCCAGAGTGCTAGGATAGTAGCTGTGTGCTACCAAATGTGGATTGTAAAATAATGGTATTCCCTAGCTTTCTATATGAATAATTGACAAATGAAAGTTGGATATACTTACATTGAAATTTTCTGTTTTTTATTTTTGAGACAGGGTTTTGCTGTGTAGTTCAGGCTATTCTTGAACTCACAGCAATCCTCCTGCTTTACCTTTCAGAGTGCTGAGATTACAGGTATGTGCCTACAGTTGTAATAGATACAAAAGTGCTGCCTGGAGCAGTAGGTAACCAATAGATGTTAATTTCTAGTTGTAGTGCGTGCCTGTAATCCCAGCACTTGGTAGGCTAGGGGATTGCTTTGAGTTCAAAGCCAGCTTGGGCAGTATAGTGAGTTCAGGCCAGCGTGAACTAACTGGTAAGACTCTTGTCTCCAAAACACCAAAACAAACACCCAGCCTCAAACAAATGAACACACACACACACACACACACACACACACACAGGTCAGTATCAGAGCATTACTAGCTGACATGAGAATGAGTGAGTGTGTGACAGTTTGAGGTTTTTTTTGTTGTTGCCTTGATGTTTTCAGCTCTTTTCCTCTTAGGAACAGCAGACTGTGAATGCCATGTAAAAATGTGTAGCTTCCAGCCTGAGTCTGCTGCCTTTCCCTCTACTTGGTCTCAACAGACTGACTCCAAGCAAGCAGAAGTTTACCGCTTATACTAATACAGTCTCTGTGTTTAATTTTCAGCATCCTGTACAAAACCAAGCTGCCTTTTATTGTAGCCATGAACAAAGTAAGTAGATTGTTTTTGTCATTTCAGCATAATCTTTTTCAACAGACTGGAGGGAAGGATTCCATCAAGTGCTGGAGAGCTCGTCTAGGTCTCATTGCGGCAAAATCACGGGCACTTGTAGGAAGTAGAGTCCATTCAGTGGAATGGTCGTTTAGTGTTGACGTTTATCCCAAGTGTTGTAGGACAGATAAGGTAGTCCCTTGAGCAGTGTATTGATTATCCCTGAAGCAGGGCTGTGTCAGGAGGGGAAGGACCACTAATCTATTGGAAGGAGCCATAAAAGAACAATAAAACCCAGTTCTTTAAATGTGTTGTTGAAGTGGAGGAGGATGAGGGAGGCAGAGAAAGAAAATGAGACATGGATGATAATGCTTTTTGATGTCACACTTAATTTAAAAGTGTCTTGCATTGCTGAGCACATAACCTCCTCTCTGGTTTCTGATAGTTGCCTTTTCTCTGGTGCAGACAGACATCATTGACCACAGCTTTGCCGTGGAATGGATGCAGGATTTTGAGGCTTTCCAAGATGCCTTGAATCAAGAAACTACATATGTCAGTAACCTCACTCGATCCATGAGTCTGGTGCTAGATGAGTTTTACAGCTCACTGAGGGTAAACTTTGTCTTCTCATACTGATAATCTTTCCAAATAGCCTCTTAACCCATAGGACTGACCTGAACCTAATTTAGGAAGGAAGTTTATTATCTTCTGAAAAGTGACTTTTGAAGCGTTGCTCACCCACGGAACCATTGTAGCTCAGTGGTAAAGCCCTTGCCCAGTGTGCAGCCTAGGTTTGACTGCCAGCATAGAAAAAGAAGACACAAAAAAGGACAGAGACTTAGAAGATAAGTAAGGGCCCTTACCGTGGCTGTCCTCTAACCCTAGCACTTTGGGAGGCTGAGGCAAGAGGATCACAAGTTTAAATCCTACATAGGCAACTTAGTAAGACTCTGTCTCAAAAGAAAAAGAGGAAGGGGACATAGCTCAATGGTAATGCACCCCTGGGTTCAATCCTCACTAACATGCACATAGGCAAACCCTAGCTTTTGAGTGCTTATGATCTAATTTAGGATAGTAGTAGGTTAGGGTAATTGCTGTGTAGGAAGGGTGAGATTTATGGAGTGAAATGTAAGCGTGGGATGCAGAGATTATGCTGACTGCCCAGATAAAACAGAACAGAAAATGATTTGGTTTGAGCTAGTTTTGTTTCTTTTCCTTTTTTCTTTTCTCTTCTCTTTTCTTTTCTTTTCTTTTCTTTTCTTTTCTTTTCTTTTCTTTCTTTTTGAGACAATCTTGTTAAATAGTTTAGGCTGGCCTTGAACTTCCTATGGAGCCCAGACTGGCTTCGATCTTGCAGTGATCCTTTTGTCTCAGCCTCCCAAGTGCTGGGATTACAGATGTGTACCACCGTGCTCAACTGGGTTAGTTTTTAAGGGAGTAGATCATAAGTCCTACTTCTTGTTTGACTGTAATTATAGCTTTACTTTTCAACTCTTTATTTTCTGTAGACTTGTTTTCATGACTCTTGACTAGGTTGCTGGTTTGTTCTATTTTAGTTTTACCTTTTTGCCAGAGAATTCTCCAAGTACGTACACTATTTCTGTGACAGTTTAATGACATTTGACCAAAATAATGCATAACATTGAAAAATATTCACTAGTTGCCTCAGTGGAATTTATGATGTTTGGCAGGTGGTGGGTGTGTCTGCTGTTCTGGGCACCGGCTTCGATGAGCTCATGGTGCAGGTCACCAGTGCTGCAGAAGAATATGAAAGGTGAGCGCGAAGGGACTTCCTGTTAGCGGCATCCTTAGCAACCAGAGTTCTGATGTGCTAGCAAAGCATTTAGTTTTTTTCCATGTCTATTGTGTATATGCCAAGTATATATATGTACTGCACCTCACCACTCGTGGAAGCAGCAAATCCCCTGAACTCTTTTTTTTTTTTTTTTATCTTGAGTCTGGGTCTCACTGTGTAGTCTAGGTTAGCCTTGAACACACCATCCTGCTTCAGCCTCTCAAGTACTAGAATTAGAGGTACATGCCACTATGGCCAGCTATTTCACTCATTTCATTAACCTTTCTGAAACATGAAAGTATCAAGGGAGGCTTGGTGGCACATGCCTGTAAGCCCAGCTTTCTGGGAGGATGAGCCAGGAGGACCATTCGTTCAAGCCCAGCCTAGCCAACTTCATTACTTAAGTGAGACTCTATCTCAAAACAATAAGGGTAGGAGGTGTAGTCAGTGTGAAGGCCTGGGTTGCCAAAAGAAAAAAAAAAAAGTACCCACTCCTCACTCTGCTGAGTGATGAAGAAGCAGGGGTCACTAGACGTTTTATGTAGAGAGCCAGTTTGCAGATATTTAGGCTTGGGGGCAGCAATCAACTTGTGCTCTTATAGGACAAAAGTGTTCGAAGCCAGATCAGAAAGGGAAGGTCATGGTCATCTAGCCTGAGACGTTACTTGTAGAACCAATAAGCTAGGTTTGGCCCTAGGTTCATTGTGTTACTTGGTAAAATGTTTGTAATGTCCTTGCCATAGTTCCTGACATGTGGCAGGCATACTTCATAAGGAATGGTGTTCCAACTGTTTTCATAGTTGGCAGTGAAACTCACTCACTTTGAGGAAAGAGGAGCAGAACTCCAGTGTGCTCAGGGCTGCAGCCTGGCACCCGTGCCTGAGCATGCTCTTTTGGCTTCCTGTTTTGCTAGATTCTGACAGCTACATTGTAATTTTTAGAGTCAGCATTTCATTTAATTCATGAGGCAAGTTATGTTTTTTTTTTTTTTCGTTTTACTAGAGCCTCAGAATAGACTCCAATCTGTATCCTTTTGTGGTTGTTGCTCTAGTTCTTCATACATTAGATTTCCTGAACGACAGGCCTGTTCTCTTCTGTTCACAAGTGAATACTTAGTACTCCCATCACGGCACTTCCAGTGCTCATCTGTGCAGCCCATCGTTTGGGAGTTGGTCTCCTTCCAGAGTTTTCTGGATGGGGCAGGTGCCTTGGTTTTGAACTCCATAGTGGTAAACTCCCTCAGTGGCCAAGACCTCTTGCATCAGCTCTGTTATTGTTGTCAGTCAAGGAAATTGAAGTGATAGGGTGGAAGTGGGCAGGCGGCTTACTAAGCAAAGGCAGTTAAAGAGTATTTGTCTTTTCTAGGGAGTATCGTCCTGAATATGAACGCCTGAAGAAATCACTGGTGAGAAAATAAACTGTATTGTAGGGTCCTTAAAAATCTGCATCTATGTACTTTGGCCCAGGACTGTAGTCCCAGGTATTTGGGAAGTTGGGATTATGGGAAGGATCACTTAGCCCAGGAGTTTGAAGCCAGCTTGTGGGGGCCAGGGAGATAGCTCAGTAGAATAAGCGCTTCCCTGGCAAGCACAAGGGCCTGAGTTCAATCCCCGGTTCTGAAAAAAAAAAAAAAATGAAGCCACTTGGCAATTTTGCTAGACAAAGATTCACTGTGTAGGTCAGGCAGGCCTTGAACTCATTTTATTTATAGCCCAGGCTGACCTTGAACTTGAAGCTCTCCTCTTGCCTCTGCCTCCTTGGGTGTGGATTATAGGCATGTACTTCCATACCTGGTGACAATTTGTCTTTTATTTATTTATTATTTTTTATGTATTTAGTACAGGGTCTACAGAGTCTCACTATGTAGATCGGACTCATAGTGAGCCTCCTGTTTTCAGCCTCCCAGGGCTGAGATTGTAGGCATGCTCCACCACGTCCAGTCTCAGTCGCCATCTCAGTGTGCCCTGGGCCAGGGCTGGCATGGCACACTGGGGATTGAACCCCGGCCTCTGCACTCTGCTTAAGCAGGTGCTTTAGTCCACTGAGCTATCTGGCCGGCCCGACAATTTGTCTTTTAAAGCAAATACAAAGCTGGTTGTAGTGGTGCCAGCTAGCACTCAGGAGAATCACCATGAGTTCAAGCCCTTCTTGGGCTACATAGTGAGGCCAAGGCTAGCCTGAACTACATAGGCACTGTCTCAGAAAACCCAAACCAAACCAAACCAAAAAGCAAACACAAAACAAGCACCTCGAGCCTTATAACGAATGCTTGTAGTTTGGATATCAGTGTATCCTTTTTATTTAACTTAATTATTTTTTATTTTGACACCCTATCTAAGATATAACTAGTGAAATATCAGTGTATTTTAAATATCAAGTGTGTGTGTGTGTGTGTATGCGTGTGTGTTCTTGTGGAACTGGGGATTGAACTCAGGCCCTTGCACTTGCCAGGGAAGCACTTATTCCACTGAGCCATCTCCCCAACCCCAGTTTGTGTGTGTTCTGAGATGGGTTCTTTCTGTGTTTCCAGTCTGGTCTTGAACTCCTAGACTCAAGTGACTCTTCCACTTCAGCTTTCCTGGTTGGGCCTGTAGGCCCATGCCACTATATGTGGCTTCAAATACTTAATTTAAATTTGGAAATTTTGGCCAGCCAGATAGCTCAGCAGACTAAAGGGCCTGCTTAGGTAGAGCATAGAGGCCGGGGTTCGATCCCCAGTGTGCTGTGCCAGCCCCACCCCTGGCCCTGGGGTATACTGAGATGGCGATTGAGACTGGACATGGTGGCACACGCCTGTAATCCTAGCCCTTGGGAGGCTGAAAACAGGAGAATCATTGGAGTTCAATATATGTAGTAAGCCCCTGTAGATCCTGTAGACCCTGTACTAAATGCATTAAAAATAATAATAATAAAAATAAATTTGGAAATTTGTCTGCATGTTCTTTATGCAAGTCCCTTAATTGTTTTTCCTCCTTGTGTTTGAGAAGAAAGCAGATTTTTTCCTGTTGTGTACACAAAGCCTTTCCTATGCCCCACCTTCTCTCCTTCTCTAAGATCTTTTTGAAGGTTAGTTGTAGAATTGTTAAGAATAGAGAGGTGGTTCACAAGTCTTATCCCAAATGATCGGTGTCAAGGGCTGGCCAAACTCAGCGGATTAAAGTGCCTGCAAGCAGGCGCAGGGGCCAGGGATCCGATCCCTGGGTCTGCCGTGCTGGCCCCGCCCCCGGGGCACACTGAGTGGCAATTGAGACTGGGCATGGTGGCGCACGCCTGTAACCCCAGCTCTTGGGAGGCTGTAAACAGGCAGATCACTACGAGTCCAATCTAGTAGTGAGACCCTTCCCTAAAATACAAAAACAAAACCAAACCAAACCCCGGATGATCAGTGTCCTGCCCTCAGTCTGCTATGGGTCCTCTGATACAGAGCCTCTTGTAGGTGTCCTTGAGGGTTCTTGGGATTTTTTTTTTCTAATTTCTGAATCTTCTAATTCAGTCAGGAGAGTGCCTGAGTGAACCTGTGCTATGGTCTAGGCCCACACTATGGAGTGTTTCTGTCTCCCATCAGCTATCCCTCATGAACTCGCAGTATTTGTATGGTTCTTCATCTCCACTTAGAAGCCTGGCATCTAGTCTGGTCCTTCTTAATTTCATTTTTCCGTGTCCCAGGTTTAACCCAGGGCCTTGCACATGTGAGGCACGTACTCGACCACTGACCTACCACCCTGGTGGGCCTCCTCTGTTAATGTGTGACCTTTTCCCTGCACGTAGGCCAGTGCACAGACTCAGCAGCAGAAGGAACAACTGGAACGCCTTCGGACAGACATGGGCTCCGTAGCCTTGGATGCAGGGACCGCCAGAGGTACTGGCTGGGCTGCTGACGTTGGAGCTAAAAAGGCAGTGAACTTTTTTTGAGAGAATTTACTTAATTTTTTTTTCATATTAATGCCTGCTTATTTTACAAAATATTGAGTTTCAATGTATTTTGTTTCATGAATGTCATAGCCATCCTCATTATCTTCTCTTGCACTGCCTTTCCTCTCCCCCTTTTCCTTCCTCTCGCCTAGTAATAATCACCCCTTCTACTTTCATGTCGTTTGTTTTTCTAGGTTTCACCTATTGAGAAATGGCTGCCACTGAGTCTGGCTTATATTGCTTAACATGATGATCTCCAGTTGCATTTATTTTTTCTGCAAATGATACAATTTTGTTCTTTATGGCCAACTAGCAGTCCATTTTCTTTATCTAGTTGTTCACTGATAGGGATCTAGGCTGGTTCCATATCTTGGGTCTTGTGAGTTGTGCCACAGTAAATGTGGGCATCCAGGTACAGTAAATCCCTGACCTACAGACATTTGAGTTGTAAATGTTCACAGATACATTGGACATTTGGATTTTTAATGCTTTACATTATATATTTGTTTCAAAGGTATGTAAGACACATTGTGTGAGACTTAGGAATGAATCCGACTTACGAATGCTCTCCCAGAATGGAAGTCACTAGGACTTATTGTAACCTATAGTGTGCTGACCTTAATTTCTTCCGGTGTACCCTGAAATATAGCTGGATCCTTCTAGTTTCAGTTTTTTGAGGAACCTCTCTACTGATTTGATTCCCACCAGCAGTATAGAAAGCTTCCTCTTCACCCCTATCCTTGTAAACATTTATTGGTTTTTTATTTACTAACTTCTTACTTTTTTGAGACAGATTCTTGCCATATAGTCCAGGCTGGTTTTGAATTTTCTGTGTAGTCCAAGTGGCCTGAAACTCGAGGTTCTTCTGCCTTAGCCTTTGAGAATGCTGGGATTCTAGGAGAGAGCCACTTTGCCTAGCTGTTTTTTTGCTGTTTTTGATGATAACCATTCTGATTGGGTTAGATGGCATCCAAATGCTGTGTTTCCCTGATGGCTGTAAACATTGAGCATGCTTTCATAACTTCATGGCCATGTATCCCTCCCTTCTTCCCTGCTCCTCCTTATTCCTCTTTCATTTTATCCTCTCTTCATTTTCCTTCTCTTTCTCCTTTTCCCTTTCTGTCCTTCCTCTACCTCTTCATTGCCTTCCCCTTCTTTCTCTTCTCTTTTGCCTTCTCCTAAAAAGTAAGGATTGAACCCTAGGCTTCTGCATTGAGCTGTATCTCCAGTTCATTTTATTTTTTATTTTGAAGCAGGGCCTCATGGAGTCACTAATTTGTCCAGGCTGGACTTGAACCTGTGATCCTCCTGCACTGGGTGTGTTGGGATTACTGGTCTATGCATGGCACCAAGGGTAGAGTACTCCTTTTGAGAAGTGTCTATGGAGGTCAGTTGCCAGTTTATTGATACGACTGTTTGATTTTTTTGCTCCCATTATTTTTAAGAGTAGGGATTATTTATTGAGAGAAAGAAAACATCTATCTTAGAGGGACAAAGAGGGTCCCAGGTAGGTTGGCATGGGGAACTCAGTTTTCAAGGAGTATAACCATGAGGTGAGGCAGGTATAGGGGGGACAAACTATAATTAACTAATAAGATTATAAGTGGAGTTGCTTAGGTAATACA